GGGTGAGAGAGTCAAGTGCCCAAGCACGGTCGCCAGGGACCCAGGCTTAGGCACCGGGGTCTTGGGCCCAGCCTCGAAAGACCTAGGCCAAACCTTTGTGGACCCGAGCCCGACCGCCAAGGAATTGAGGCTGGGCACTAGTTACTTGGGTTCGGGAGTTGTGTACAAGAGCATGGCCGCCACGAACTCGAGTAAGGACATCAAGTTCCCAAGCTCGACCTCAAGAGATTCGAGCCCTGACTTGGCGTGGGAGTTGGCTTGGGCAAAGCCGCTGGGGACTCGGGCACGGACAACGGGATTCTGAACCCGACCTTTGTGAACCTGGGCCCAAGTGTGGCTGACTTCGGCACGTGAGACAAGTACCCAAGCATAGGCACCGAAGTCTTGCATCCAGCCTACAGGGATTTGGGTCCAGCCACCGAGGTACCACGCCGGCCTCGATGGACCTTGGTCGTAAGGTCGATGACTTGGGCATGGGAGTTGGGTGCTTGGGGCATGGCCGCTGTGCATCCAAGCATGGGCATCGAGGTCTCGGGCTTGGCCTCTATGGATTAGAGCCTGGCCTCAAAAGACCTGGGGACGGTCGGTAGAGATCCGGGCATGGGCACTAGTGTATTGCACTCGACCTTGAGGAATCTAGCTTGCCGTCAATGTACCTGGGCTTGACATCAATGGATCTGAGTGCGAGGGCCAGTGACTTAGGTGTGAGATCCAAGTACTTTGGCATGGTTGTCGGTGACCTTGGCACGAGCACCGATGTCTCAAGCTTGGGGCCTAACCTCTGTGGCCTGAGCTCAGTCTTGATGGACCCAGGCTTGGCCTATATGGATTTGACTCGGCCTTAATATACTTGGCTCGGGCACCAGTGAATTGAATGTGAGAGCCGGGTACCTTACATGGCCGCCAGGGAATCAAGAAGGGCACCGATGTCCCAAATATGGTCGTGGGGGGACTCAGGCCTAGCCTCCATGGAATTGAACCTAGTCTCGATGGATCTAGGCCCGGGTGCCAGTGGCTTGGGCACAAGAGCCAGGTATGTGGGTATGGTCACCAAGGACCCTAGTACTGGCATCGAAGTCATGGGCCTAGTCTCGAGAGGCCTAGGCTCGATCTTTGTGGACCCGGGCCCGGTTAGTTGAGGAACCGATCCCGACCTTGAGGGACTTTGGCCCGGGAGCTAGGTAGCCGGCAATTGCTGCTAGGGTTCTAAGCATGGGCGTCTAGGTCCTGGGTTCGGTCGCCTAAGACATGAGTACGGGCATCGGGGTTCCCGTGCCCAAGTGCTGAGGTCTTTATTCCAAGCTCCGATGTCGGGTCACATTCTAGAGTGATTTTTGATTTTTTATGAAGAAAATTGTTATCCTAAATTTAAGTATATGTCTTTTGTTGACCATGAAAAGATTTTTTGTTGACTCATTGTATTTCTTCTAGAGAATCTCCTAATTTTTCCATAGCAATAAGCAACTCATTTACCCAAACATTTCTAAATATATTGTACAGATTTCAATTCGAATTTAAACTTTTCAATTTGATCAATGTAATCTTAAAACTTTTGACGATTTTCCAATATAATCCAACCAGGCAACTTAGATAGGAAATCGTTCAAGTGGCGGTCGAGCCAACGCCGACTGTTCTACGCGGCACAACCAATAGCTGATGTGGAAGAAATGAATTGAAACAACGTTGTTTTGCAATTCTTTTGTAAGTTTTTTGGATTTTTTTCCATTTTCTTTTTTTTCTTTTCCACACCACTGTTCATCTTCTTTGTTGTGTCTTCGTCTCCTTCCACTTCATCGCTAATAAGACATCATTGTTCATTTTCCTTTTATACGCCCCACCATTGTCGAAAAGGGTCGGTGAGGGTCGCCGAAACCTTGGTGATGGCTGACGAGGCTCGTAGTCCTCCCCAAGATCTGGATAAGGGTTGGTGGCCATTGCCGAGACCTGAACGACCCCTCCCTGTCGAGCGATGGTGGGGCGACATAAAAAGAAGATGAATAGTGAGAAAAAAGAAAAAAGAAAATCAGAACATAAATTATTCAAAAAAGAACGAGGTAGGAGACCATGAACATTAAAAAAGAAAAAAGAAATAACAATTTGTACAACCATCTTCAATAGCGCTTTCGGACTTACTTCATTTGAAGAAAATTATGTGACATGATATTCTCTACTTATAATAGGCATGGAGGTTTTAGTTTCATCCCTTCATTCTTCGTTAAAAAGAGATATGAATTCAAAGTTTAAAAGAGAAGACGACACTCCTCTGTTCGAGGGAACGGCTTTTTCGGGACTTGAAATATTTCTTCCGATTCAACGGCGATATTGAACATTTTAAAATGGTCTAGAAACTTATTTGATTGAATCGAAATTTCCGAAATGATATTGCACATCGGTTCAAGAATCTCACACTACCGGCCGAAAGATCACGAAATGGCATTACGTTGGGTATGAAATTTAGTGTCCAACAGTGTCATTATCAATCAAACTTCCGTTCTCTGTTTTTGGGGGCCAAACAGGCTGAAAACTATTCATGCACAGGCGCGAACGCCACGGCTGCCTGCATCACGTGCGTGGGTGGGGTCGAAGTGACCGAAGGAAAGGGCCCTTTCGGTTTCAAAAGGCAAAAGAAAAAAAAAGCTTCGATAATGACCAGGAAAAAGCTGTTCGAACGTGATGTGAGGCTAACTTTGATTCTTGATTTTCGTTCTCACGGTGCGTGGTCGTGATGTCTTGTCTTTGTGGCCGTGGCTCGTGCAGCAGGGACTACAATCTTGTTGGGCGCGCTTTCTCGTCTTTTCACGCACTCGGTCTTCTTTCCCCAGCTTGGACCGACCACCCACACTTCTTTCATTCGTCTCTTTGCCCCCAAAGAACATGACCCAAAAGAAGAAAAGAGAAAGCGCTAGGTCTTTATTTAGCCTTGGAGGGCCACTTAGACGAGGCCATTTCGATGAATCTCTCTCTGTGATATGGACTCTTGAGGATAAGTGATAGTTTGTTTACAAAAGAATACTCCGAAAACCGTACGAAAACCGGGTTAGTTCAATCCAAGAATCGGACCGAACCGGCTTTACCCGATTCGGTAGAAAAAACAAAACGCCACGCCTAGCCCGTGGACCGATTGAAATTCTTGTAGGGGGGCATTTCTACAAATCTCCGGTGATTCGATTTTTGAGGATCAGTGGTCATTTGATTATGAAAGAGTATCTCTTGTTCGTTTATCTAAAACTTTTAATATAACTGTGCGATGCGATATTTTAGATAGAAAGTATAACAAAATATATGGATAAATGCACTAGAAGTCCTAAAATCCTTAAACTTTCGAAAAGTGTAATCAAGTCCTATAACATTATTACGAAAGTGAAATCGAGTTCTAAAACTTTCAAATAGTGTAATCAATGGAAGGACTCGATTGGCCTCAGTTGACAAGTTTTAGGATTTGATTATATTTTTTGAAAGTTTTAGGACTCAATTACTCTTTCATAATAATATTTTAGGACTTCTGATACACTTTTTCTTAAAATATACTAGAACACAACTTATTGAGGACCGCGAATCGATCCTCCAAGTATCACGGAAATCCTCTTTCCTCTGGAAGTGAGCAACTGGACCGGTTCAACCTAAGGACCAAACCGAACTAGTCTTATCCGATTTATTCCAAGTTGCTTCATGCGGAGACCGATTCAATTCCTGGGTAAAAATTTCGATAACGCCCGTGTAGAACCCAAAACCCTATAAGTCTTAATTGATAACTTTTGCAAAAATAATGAGATTAAATTCCAATATAAGCGGGCCGTAATGGCGTTCTAATTGAGAATTTTTGCAAAAACAGTTAACATGATTGAGTAATAAAATTAAAAAAAATGAAACTGAATTACAAATTAGGCCGGTTCTCAGATCGACCTTAGAACCTGTCGGTTCAGTTCCAGAATTGACCGGTTCCATTTCCGATTCCAAAAACAAACAACCGGCCGACACTGTGGATTCCCAATTCCTGACCCGGAACATGCCAACACCTAGAACCAAATTCCTTATCCTTTCCTTCGATCAAAAAAAGTATCATGTTCCCATCCAAAGGAACTTTTGAAAAAAAGAATACAAAAGAGAGAGACAAACTTAGAGGCTTGATGCTTGCCTATCACCTAGGGCTAGGGGTTCCTCATGATCCAGTCCCAGTCCATCCTTGAAAAAGGAACAAACAAACAAAAAAAACACAAAACAAGATTAACTTGGCGGGGCCCACCAATGTCCCAAAAGTCCGTGGGCCCCCCCATCATGTGCCCGACGGGCCCAGTACTTTTCAACAAAGTCGGGCTTCTTCTAATGTCATCATCCCTTGTGCGTCGGGGAAGCACCTCCAATTGCGCGCAATTTTGGGGGATTGGAAGACGCTAATTGAAGGAGGAGGAGAGCCCCCCTTGAAATAAAACATCCTCGTCAACGCCGGCCGTCATATTTCCCCTGAAATCGCGCGTTTGTCTCTCTCAACATGGAGACTCCATCGCCGTTTTACCCAAGTCAAGTCGAAAGGGAATCTGAAACCGGGTCGAGCCGCTGGATATTCTACTCCATTTTGTCCGGTCGGTCGAGCCGGTCGAAACATTGGTGTACTAGTTCTTTGATCGGTCGATCCCGTACTCGAGCCGACTTGAAAATCTCTCCTCTCCTCTTTTTACTATATACGAAGCGTTCGGTGTAGAAAAGATTATCAGTCAATAAAGCTAATATTCGAGCAAAAGTTTAATTTTGCCATGACCATGAATTGATCTCTAGCTCCATTGGTCATCCCTCAAGCTCATGCGATTATTCACTAAAATATTTCTCGAAGTACGATCAATACCAGGGACAAAATCAGGTGGAAAGCTATGGTCATAGTGATAGTACGATGAGTCCAGAAACAAGATTTTATGCGAGAAAGGACCTTATAAAGTATGATTCAAGTACATAGTGTAGGCTCAGTTAAGATCCATATGGATTGTCTTAGGCTCGTATCAAGCTTATTACAAGAGCTTAACGACACAGCAGTGGCTGCAGAGCTCCTTCTCCGCTGCTTCCACGATTGGATCGAACCTCATCCAAGCATTGGCGGTGGTCGCCGACGTGTCGAATTTGCAAGCCTTGGAGATGGTGTGCGACGTCTCCCCCGAGAACCGATACCCTCCCAAGAAGTACAAGTGAGTCCCAATTGGTGCCATGGTAAGATAGAGCCTCTTGATCGCTGGCGACAGGTACTCGTTCGTAACGCATTCGTTGCTTGATGTGCTCATAGGTTGTGACAATTCTCGGAGACATGAGTACTCAACTTCATTCCACATGTTTAGCCCCGCATCATATGCCTCAATGTGGCCCTTCCAAGCTTTCAAGCAATCTCCGGAGCTGAACAGCTTCCCGTCAACCGTGACGATTTGGTTGGGGGGGATGTCCAGTTGCCACATCCTCGCCATCAGCTCCCACGTCCCGGTTCTCGGGTCGAAAACCTCCACCGAGCTCCGCTCGGTGATGAACGGAGATGCCCTGTCTGAGTCCAACCGCTCCACGAACCCGCTGACCACATGGATCTTGTCTTGCCATGTCACTCCAACCGATTTGTACCTCATGGTGTTCATGCTAGGCAAAGGACTCCACTCGTCTACACTTGGATCATACACTTCCGCGGACGAAATCCCCCTGGCACAACCCAAATTCGACTGCCCGCCCGCCACATAGATCTTGTTATCCCATACGGTACATGCGAAATCCGAACGCGAGGTCCCCAGCGTCGCGCACATGGACCATTGTTCGGTCCTCGTGTTGTACTTCATAACGGTCGACAGTATCTCCACCTCAACGTCGACCCAATCGGCTAACTCATCCGAGACATGAGTCATCTCCTTGTGGCAGAGCCGGCCACCGATGACATAAATCATGTCTCCGACCGACACCATCGCGAAGCCCTTCAAAACATGTCCTTCCACCACGTGAGGGATTAGGCTCACGTAGCTCCAAGAGTTGCTAGATGGATCGTAGCACTCTATCCAATTCGAAGTGGTGTCCGCTTTCAGAGTTGGGTCCTTGAGGCAGAACGGCACGTAGACGAGACACCCCATTGGGGAAAAAAACTCCGGGGACGGCGGGGGTGTCATGGGCCGCGGTGCGGATGCGAGGGAGCCCATCGGCATCTATAGTGAGGGAGGGTACAATTTTCCCTTGGAAGGAAGGGGGCTTAGCAAGAAGATCTTGCGTGCTTCATGCCGAATGCCAACTGGAGACATACCATACAAAGAGGGAGAGAAGATGATAAAAAGACCCCTTGGCGGACACAGCAACAATAATTTGATCATTTGTAATTGACATCGACTATGGAGTGAACGTAGGTGGCGGCAACACAAGGGTTTTTTGGAGTTGAAACCTAGGAAAGTTTCCTAGGGCAAAGATCATTCTAATTATTGACGAAATTCTTGTGGGGTTGCTGTCTATTACGTTGGACTCTTCATTTTACCAAAACGAATGGACGAATTGTTATCGGAGAAGTCGAGGGAAAATTACTAGAGCAATCCCTTTTGGAGGAACCGCATGTCATTGTCCCTTCACATTGTACCTAGTTAGATATTCCTTGGGGTCGCAGTCTACTTTCTTTCTTTTACTCCAAATAAGATGATCAGTTTACCAATGATTGGTGTTGGACTGTTTGTTTCTCAAGTTTTCTAGGGATTGTCTAGTTTTGGCTGACAATCTTGAAGTCGCACGGTGCCTGCCGAGTTCGACCGGTTTTGCCACATCTTATTCTCTTTTTATAGGGTTAATATCACCGATTGAGTAGTCCTTCAACTTCGAGGTGTTTTCATTTGGTCGCTCGAATTTATATCCCGAATTCTATTGGCGCCGTTCAACTTCCGTTTTGTGAGACATTCTACCTTATTGTGGACTAAAACATGACACACCTCCCAACATAGAATTCCCATGGTATAGGTATGGTTGTGTTATGGTGTTTTGATTATTACAAGAAATTCCAACTCAAATAAGCCATAGGTCCATGAAATACCGTACTAATTTCATGGACCAGGTAGTATTTTTGTGGACCAGGCAAAATGCGAACCAAAATCTGGGTAGGCGTTCAAATTGTCAATTGTTTTCTCCTAGTGGTGTACGTGTATTATGTGCCTAATCCACGCTCACATCTCTGTTCTTTAATGATTAAGCCAACCTCATGGTGCTAGTACTGTAGTTGTGTGGTGCTATGAGAGTGATATAACTTTCGTATTTGGTAAGACTTGATTTAAAGGTGCAGCGTCTTAGAAGGGTGTATCAGATTCCTGAATAAAGATTGCTTATTAAACTGCAATCAATATCTCAAATCAAGGAAGGGTTCTATGGAAGTTCTCTTTCTAGCATTTGTTAAATTTAGCCACGATATACATTTATCTAGTTAAGTTTTTTTTTTGAAAAAAAAAATCCAATATTCTTTGATTTTTAATTAAATTTTATTTTTGATTAGTCACAAGATGATTATGATTCTGACTTTCAAGTTAACTTGGATTGCTATGACTCGAGCTGAATTTATTGATGACTTAAGTTGTGTAAATTAGGTGTTACTTTTACTAGAACGATTAGCCTTGAGTATAAGAAGTCATAGCATAAAAGTTTATAGTGAATGAATTAGTGATTTTTAAGATTTGAACTTCTATTAATTTTAATTTGGGCAAGACATTACAATTAACAAATTTTAGGAGTGAATAGAAATTCTGCTGGATCTTTTTTCTTAATGAAGTTTGTACATATGGCCAAAAACGAATTAAGTTTGTGATCCTTTTTTGTTTGGTCTTATTTAGAGTTATTTATTAGAATTGAAGTAATTTTCTTGTTAATTGTCCATGTGTAGATGACTTTGTTTTACCTGAGTTGAGTAAGTAAATTTGGATGTTGCTATGACATCTAAATTAACTCACTCGAAGTATTGTCAACTTTACCTCGTCCCGTAGCGAGCCTCGCAATTTTGTTCTTTGGCAAATGAATGGGCACTTTCTTAGGTATTAATTGTGCTTTCTCCTGAGCACGTGTAAAATTAGAGTTCTAATACTAAGTGTTGCTCTTTTGTCACAATGCCCATTTGTGAGTTAATTCAAGTTTCACACACACACACACATCCTTGGAATGCTTTCCTCTTGTTCGATGCTCAATTCGATTCATTCCTGTCCCCTTCGCTATCTTAGAAGCTTCCCGGGAGTCACTCTTTGTTTGGGCCCCCCAATACCAACAATCATTGCTTGCCCTCATCGGACCAGATGTTATAGGCCCATCAACTTTCGCATGGTTAATCCTCAAACTACACACATCTTGAGGGGGGTTTCACTTTGAGACCATATTGAACACCTTTGAGTTAACTCACTCGAGGTCTTATCCGCTTTGATTTATCCCATATTAAGCCTCACGGGTTTTGTTCTTTGACGTACAAATGGACACTTTTCCAAAAGATCATCCATCCTAGTAATACTCTTACTTGAGCACGCTTAACATTGAAGTTTCGACTTACCATTACGTCAAAAAGCGTCTCTTGTGAGGTAATTCCATTTTCATATATATAACACTTTCCCTTTGTTTGATACGCAGTTCGGTTCATACCTCATCTCAACCGCCATTCATGTAACAGTTAGATGTCCTTTTATCTCGAACAAAAAATAACACATTTTCGATATGATCCGACTTATATTTACTCAAGTTAACGCAACTTGTTTACACACTACTTGTTGTATCAACATAGATCAACCTCCCAAAAACATATACCTTATCGACTTTCCTAGCATCCGCCACTGTATTGTCTAATTTTGTTCTTTTTTCCCGTGTATCGTTCAACCAAATTTAACTTAGGATTTTCAATTCATTGAGCTTATTCATTGATTGATTAACCTTTGACCAAAAATATTGGTTTTGGTTTTCCAGATTTAGTGAACTTATTAATTAATTAATAATTTGACCAGATATTTTAGTGTAACTTTGTTCTTCATTAAATTATGTTTGAACAACTTATGGAAAATTTTTTATAATTAATAGGTCTCATTAAAGAGATTGAGCCAAGTTTATATATACAAAGTCCTAACAAGTCTTGTTTTACTGTTATATCACTAAACCAAATTTGGCTTTGGTTTTCCAGATCAATTGATCTTATCTATTAGCTAATTATCCTTTAACAAGATTTGGGTTTTTTTCCCATATTTACTAACTCATTTATTGATTATTTAACCTTTTGACTAGATATTTGGGTGGGACTGTTCTTTCATTATTAAAAAACTACTAAAACTTGTGATAATTAATAGGTGTCATTAATGAAGAGGAGCCAAGTTGATAATAATAATAATCGTGGTCATCATCTTCTGGGCCAAGCAACATACATTTATTTCTTTTCGGCTGATTAAATTAAACCTACTCTTGCATATAAGATGTTGATGCTCATTTTACATAAGATGTTGGGCCCCACATATTTTTCAATTCTTGATACTAATAAATCCTCCTTAAATGTTCAAAAGTCAAGTATCCACATTGTATGACAAGCAAAAGTGCACACGCGTTCTCGCGTAAACAAGTAATTAACATTTAAAATATTTAGCACAATCATCTTAGTACAAAGTATTTGAATCATCAGTTAATGGAAAGAAAGAAATCACTAAACTAATATGAAGCAACTGCACACGTACATATATAAAGAGAGAAATATATTTCAAGATTTGAGTTTTTTATTGTTGTTTACCAGATCATTGATTTATACATTTATCCATTGATATAGTATTATATGAAACAACTATTGGGGATTTTTTATCAGAAAACCTTGAAGGTAAGAAGTTTTCTTTACTTTAACAGTATAGACAGTTAGATCGGCCAACGTTAACCGCGTATTCATGTGATTAGTAGAGATGAATAAATGATTATCAAACCATCACTTGATCTTTTAATCGCTTAGGTATTCATTTTAAAAGGTTATGTTAAAAGCATAAGAAATAAAGTGACATTTTATTATAGTTTTGTATGTGACTCTCTCTTTTTAGACTCAAAAGGAAGTAACAACTTTAGGGGCAGATTGTATTTTGCAGATCATTTTAAACATTACAAGTTTCTAAGCACATTGAACACTAAAAATATGATTTATCCACTATTGCGCTTCCGCTCAAGAGGCAACAAATACAGGAAAATTCTTTGAGGTGAATCCAATAGAAATATTATAATTCTTTCGCCTTTTTTTATTTTACACATTTAGTGTACTATAAAATAGGAATAGCTCTCAACGAGCGGGCTCGGGAGGCGATACAGCAGCAACACAGTTGTTCCACGTCTCATTGCTCCTCCTACGGACATCGGATACTGTCCCCCTGATCGACTTGTGGGTCGAGAGGATCAACTCCACGAATTGGTTATGGCAGTTCTTCCCTGCCTTCACGAGCTCGTGACAACATTCATTGGTGGGTTCAAAGGTGTCTGCAAGGACTATGATTTGAAAGAACGCAGACCCGCAATCATAAGTCATTCCCTTTGCACAATCAGGGTTTTCGGCGAAGGTAGCTCCAGGAAGCAATGCAACGGTAACGACTAGCAAGGTCATGAGAGCAGAAAAGTTCTTGAGCGTTGCCATGATGGTCTTTTGGGGACGGAAGGGTTAGGAAATTTTCTGAGATTGTTTATTTTTTGATGATGTATACGATCTAGAGATGAGAACTTATATAGCTTGAGGGAAGTAGCGCATTAATGAAATGGATTCATCAGTTATGATTCAGAAATTAATGTTGGTTAGATGTCCATAAAAATTAACACAAGAGACGCTTTTTGACGTAATATTGATTAGCGCATTAATGTTGGTTGTGATAAAAGGACATCTAACCATCCTAGAAATCTACCGGAAAGTCACTCTTTGTCTAAGCCCTTTAGTCCTGAATCTCAGTTCACAAAAAAAAAAATAATACGGTTGTTATTAAATTTTCTCGTTTGTCGTTATAATTGCTATGAAAAATCTCGTAGTGCACCATTCTAGCAGCAACAGCAAGACCAGAAAAAAAAAGTGTAACATGAAAGGTCTTCTTTTAGCCGCAATTAATGTAAAAGATCTAAAACAGTACACGGAAAC